TCTTTTAATATCTATAGAGTCTGTAATGGTGTCACCTCTTTCATTACTTATTGATAATTTTGTGTTTTTTTCTAGATCAGGGTGGCTTGAAGTCTATCAAATTATTGATCTCTTTCCATTTATTGATTTTCTCTACTTAGTTCCTGTTTTATATATTTTATCGATTTCTACTTTGATCTTTAATATTTTCTTTCTTTAGCTTACTTTGGGTTTTAAGAGGTTCTGCCCTTTTTTCTAGTTTCTTAAGGCAGCAGCTGAGGTCATTAATATAATATCTTTCTTCTTTTCTAATATAGGCATGTAGGGCTATAAATTTTCCCTTAAGTACTGCTTTAGTGGTGCCCCACAATTTCTGATATATGGTATTTTCATTCAGTTAAAAAAATACTTTCTAATATCCCTTTTGGTTTTTCCTTTGATCCATGGTTACCTAGAAATGTGTTATTGAATTTCCAAATATCTGGGGTTTTCTAGAGATCTTTTTGTTACTAATTTCTAATTTAATTCTATGGTGATCTGACTGCATACTTTTAAGACTTGAATCCTTTTAAATTTGTTGAGAGTTGTTTTATGGCCCTGAATATGATCTAGCAGATGCTCATGCTGGCTCTCCATAATCCCCAAGTCCCGTTGGGTGATATAATGGGCCCATTATGGAAGCCTGCACAGACAGTAGGTTTCATATTAAGAGAGGAGCACTGAGTTTGGGATTCATGACTTTTAGGGCAAATGAAGCAAGACTGCTCTTTGTTGGGGGGTAGACATTACCTCATTTGTCAAGGCTGCTCATTGCAAATACAACTCTGAGAAATGGCTTAATAAAAGCTGCCAGGGCCCTATAATTTTGGCATACCTGAGAGAAAGTGCAGGCATACTCAGGACCCATGGTGGACTTCCCTCCAACAAAGTCACTGAGCACTTTTAATTCTTTTGGATTATTTTTATTCTTTCTGTGTTTCATTTTGGGTAGTTTCTATTTCTATGCTTTCAAATTCACTAATCTTTTCTTTTGCAATGTCTAATCTGCCCTTAATCCCATCCAGTGTATTCTTTATCTCAGATACTGTAGTTTTATTTCTAGAGGTTTCATTTGGTCTTTTAAAAAATATCTTCCATGTTTCTACTTAACTTTTTGAACACACGGAATACAGTTGTAACAATTGTTTTAACGTTCCTTTCTGCTAACTCTAACATCTCTATCAGCCCTGGGTCAGTTTTGATTGATTGCTATTCTCCTTGATATGGGTTGTGTTTTCCTGCCTCTTTGGATATGTGGGAATCTTTGATTAGATGCCAGATATTGTGGTTTTTACCTTATTGGGTGCCAGATATTTTTGTATTCCTCTAAATCTTCTTGAGCTTTGTTCTGTGATGTAGTTCAGTTACTTGGCAATAATTAAGTTACTTAGAAACAAGTTATGCATCTGGAAACAGTTTTACCCTTTGGGGTCTTGCTTTTATGATTTTATGATTGTTTTATGATTTGTTAGGTCAGTTCAGAGCAGTGCTCATTCCAGGACTTGTCTGGGAACAATTAATTCCATACTACTACTGGTCAAGGAATAATTAATACTACACTCCCACTACTCTAGGAATAATTAATTCCACACTACTGAGGCAAGACCTTCCCAAGTACTCTACCCAAAGCTCTGTGAATTATGTTTTTACAGTTCTGCTGGTGGGAGCAGGCACTCACCTGGCCTGTGAAAATGCTGGGCACTGTTCCCCCTAATCCTTTCAGATGGTTCTTTTCTTGGACTTGAGTAGTTTCCTCACAAGCATGCTTTGATCGTTACTCTGCTGAATACTTGGGTGGGAAACTCTGAAGATCTCCAAAAGCTCTCTCTGTGCGTGGCCTTCTCCTTTCTGACACTCTGTCCTGTGACTATTAGCTGCCTTCTACTCCCTGGACGCTAAGCTTCTTCTCCTCAACTCAGGGAATCCTCTGGACTCTACGTCAATGCTCTGGCATACAAGTTCTCTCAGTCTGTAAACTGAGGCAATCATTGGACGCTCCTCATTTGTTTCCTATCTCTCAGGATTCCTGTCCTTCATTGTCTGATGGCCAGTGTCTTGAAAGCCATTGTTTCATGTTTTGTCTTTTGTTTTTTCAGCTGTTTCAGGAGGGAGGGTGATTTTAGTGCCCATCACTCCATCTTGGCCAGAAGCTGAATTCTCCTTACTAATTTCTTGACATTAGCCATTATTTCTTCAAGTATTTTTTCCTGTCCTCCCACTTTAGAGACTCCAATTACACAAATATTGGGCTGCTTGCAGTTTTCCCACAGTTCGCTGATCCTCTGCTTATTTTTTCTAAAGTCTCTTTTGTCTCTGTGTTTTATATTGGACTATTTCTATTGCTATGTCTTCAAGTTGACTCACCCGCTTTTACGCAGTGTCTACTCTGTAGTTGAACCCATTCAGTGCATTTTTAAATCTCACACATTGTACTTTTCCTCACTAGAGAATCAATTTGTGTCTTCTTAAAAAAAATATCTTTCATGCCTTTACTTAGCATGTTCAATCTTTCCTCTAGCTTCTTGAATATACAAAATGCAATCATAATTACTTTTAATGTTCTTTTCTACTAACTATCATGTGTCAATTTTGGATCAGTTTTGATTGATTATTCTCCTTATGGATCATAACTTTCCTGCTTCTTTGCATACCTGGTAATATCTGATAGGTGCCAGAAATTGCCAACTTTCCCATCTAGGTGTTGAATGTTTTTATGCCTATAGATATATATATTTTTTAAAGATTTTATTTTTTCCTTTTTCTCGCCAAAGGCCCCCGGTACATAGTTGTATATTCTTCGTTGTGGGCCCTTCTAGCTGTGGCATGTGGGACGCCGCCTCAGCGTGGCCTGATGAGCAGTGCCATGTGTGCGCCCAGGATTCGAACCAACGAAACACTGGGCTACCTGCAGCGGAGTGCGCGAACTCAACCACTTGGCCACGGGGCCAGCCCCGCCTATAGATATTTTTGAGCTCTGTTCTGGGACATGGTTAAGTGATTCGGAAACAGGTCGATCCTTTCAGGTCTCACTTGTGAGCTTCTTCAGACAGGACCAGTACATCATTTAGCTTAGGGCTAATTTCTGCCCCCTTCTCAATGCTCTATCTGATGCTCTGTGAATTAGGAGGTTTTCCACTCTGGCTAATGGAAGCAGGAACTATTTCCTGCCCTTTATGAATTCCAAGCATCTTCCTTCCTAATCCTTTTGAGTGTTTCTTTCCTTGGCCTCAGTTATTTTTCTCCCATGCATTCACTGATCAGACTGGAGGGGGCCCCTCTGCAAATCTCTAGGCTTCTCTCTTTGTAGCTCTTTTCTGTAATTGACCTTGCAGACTCTAGCCACCTTGGTCTCTCTGAACTCCCAGTTTAGGGAGTTGACCAGTGAGCTACGCCTGGGTTCCCCTTTATTGTATTGCATCTTGGAAACTTTCCAAGCTGGGACAATCCTAGCGCTCATGTTGTTTATTTCCTGCCTCTCAGGGGTCGTCATCTTTCCTTGCCAGATGAACAATATCTTGAAAATCTTTGTTTCATATATTTTTTTCCCCCAGATTTTAGCCATTTCAGGCAGGATGGTAAATCTGGTGCCTTTTGATCCATCTCCTTTGGAACCTGAAGTCCCCACCATTAATTTTTGAAGACTAAGATTAATGGTATTTATAATTGTTGATCCAGTCTCTAATAGTTAAAATTTACTGATAGACTTGTTCAGAGAGTATGATTTTAATCTAAAATATAAGCTTTTAATCCAAACAAATTAGCTCAGTCACTGTTTCCAAGGATACTTATTTCTGCAACAAATATTTGAGTACCTACTATGAGTAGGCACACCTCTAGTTGCTGGGAATTATGGCTATGAAAAAGACAAAAATCACTGCCCTCATGGGGTTCATATTCTAGTGAATATGTTTTTTAAAATGTTAATGCAATGCATTTGCTAATTTGTCAAAGTCTTTTTGCAGAAAGCTCCAAACAATAAAACTAAGTGATGTAAACACTTCTAAGGAACAGTGATAAATCCGGGCGTGCTTTCAGCTTGAGACATGTCAACAAATTAGTAGCTGTGAACCACAAACCGTTGTGTAGCATCTGTGGGCAACTTTTATTCAATTTGACATAAGCTTCAGGAGGCCAGGGCCCTATCAGCTAGCCTCTGTATCCCCAGTGCTTAACGGAGTGTCTAGATGACAGTAGGTGCTTAATAAATACGTGATGAAAATATTTCAACCTACTGGTCCCAGGGGTCCCCGTCCTGGTTCCTTCTGGGGCTCAACCGATACGGAACAGCTAGCCAGCGCCACTGGGATGAAAAGGCTTAGGTGCAACACATCATGGGGAGAGGGAAATGTATTCCATCCTCCATTGTCAGTTCTTTTAAATTTATGACTGGCAGGTGAGAGCTGACACTTCCTGCCTTTGGTTTGGTTCCTGACATTTTAATATGGTTGGTCCAAGTCCCTTGTCTTGATTTCCCCAGGTGAGGGCCGGGAGGAGAGGAACAAAAAGAGGGGATTCTGCAGCTTTTGAACTTTACTTTTTTTCGGGGCGGGGGGGGAGTGTGAGAGAGACATCTAATGAATATGTGGAAATATACGGAAAATGTGAATATACAAATAATATATGGAAAACTTGGATGCTTTGGGGGTGGTTGGGGACCCAGGTCGTGGGTGTCCCTCCCCTGGCTCGCGTACATCCACCCACCCTGGGAACCGATCCAGGCTCCCGCAAGTCAAGACGCACCAGGAGCCAGAAGGCAGGAGGCAGGATGGGAGGCGTGGGCTGCCGCCGGCAGCCTCAACGCACTGCACCAGGGAGGTTTCGAGCGGCGGTAGGGGTAGGAGCCGGGCCCCGGGAGCCGCCGGCGCCCCTGCCCGCCCGCCGGCACGTGCTCGCAGCGGCGGGGGCGGCGCGGGCGGAGTGGGGCGGGGGCGCGGCCGGCGGCCACGTGACGGGCGGCGCGGGTATTAAGCGGCGCGGCGGCTGCTAGCAACCCGAGCTGGTGCTTCGCCCGCGACCCAGCGTCTAGGTGCGCCGCCCCGAGAGGAGCCGCGCGAAGGTCACCCGCGCCCGCCGCCGCCCGCGCCTCTGCCGAGCCCCGCGCGCCCCGCAGCCTCCGTCCGCCCGTCCGTCCGTCCGTCCGCCCGCCCGTCCGAGCCCCGCGTGCCCGCCGCAGCCCCGGCTACCTGAGCGCCATGAACCAGATAGAGCCCGGCGTGCAGTACAACTACGTCTACGAAGATGACGAGTACATGATCCAGGAGGAGGAGTGGGACCGCGACCTGCTCCTGGACCCGGCCTGGGAGAAGCAGCAGAGGAAGGTCAGCCAGGGCCCCGTGCCCGCCAGCCGCGGACTGGCCCGCGTGTCTGTGTCCCATTCCCCCCGGGGCTCCGGCCCGTGGGCGTCGCCCACCGACCGTGTGGACTAGCGAGAGGGGCTGGATGGAGGTGTCGTGTTGTCCCATGTCATCGTAGCCTGGGTGCCCCGTTAGAAAGAAGAACACGTCCAGGGACAGGCAGGAAACTGGGCGTCGTGTGTGTGCGCGCGCGCGTGTGCCTGTGTGCGCGTGTGGGTGACAAGAGTCACAAAACAAAAAATGTTAATGGAAGAACAGCGCTGTGTGAGTGTGTTTCTGTTTTAACCTGCATTAGATCCGAATTTGAAAGAGTCTCGTGTCCGCTCCGGACCCCTTGAGTCTGTGACCTTGGCCGCAGAGTTGTGTCTCCTGGCCCCGATGTGTCCTTTCCCCTTAGCGCATCTCTCCCCAGATAAAAGAGGTCAAATGAACATCAGCTTCCTTCCGCTTTTCACAGGGCTGCCCCAAAGAGTAATTGAAAATCATTTATTAAATGTGTTGGGCTCCTTAGAGAGGGATGCTGTGTGAAACTAGACATTCACCGATAAAGTAATAATTATTTCACCCTCTATTTATGGTTCATTGAGGTAAGCACAAAGGGACGAGGGAGTCAGCCAGCTCTAAAAGCTCCCTGCCCATCTTGGTTGGTGCTCTCTGGGGCCCAGTGGAACATTCCACTATTGGAAGGTTTCTTCTTGATCCCCTTGGCTAGAGCAAGTAGGGGATGCTTACCAGGAGGCTAAATCCTGTCTCCTGTTTGGCTGGGCACAGAGCCTGGCTGGGTCAGGCATGCCCGCACAGACCTGCTAACCCAACCTTATGATGACAGGTCATGGCAAAAGCAAAGTGCCCTCTGCTTTTTCCCCTCTTTTTCTGGGAGTGGAGCAAAGTGGATTTCCCTTCTAAGGGTGTGCTTCTAAGTGGACAACCTCTGTTGACCATATGTGTGCATGGGAAGAGCTCTGTGTAGCTGCACTGTGGGTGATTATGGGACAGTACGTGGTGAATAAGTGTGTGACTGTGGAAAACATATATCCCATACTTCTTTCCCAACAAATGTGTTAGCTGGAGGAGAGAGGTCCCATATTTGGATAATTGTCAAATAACCATTTATTTTTGTTATTTATAAAATTACCATGGTATTTTTATATCAAGATTTCTCTTTTATCTGCCTTCTCTCTTAAAATACCACTTACTATTATTATTCGAAAGCACTAATTTAGCTACATTTCGTTTTCCACCTTAGTTCCCTAAGACTTCCACCATCTTTCCCTTCTTGGGAACAACAGAATGTGAACGATAAATGGAAGTCTCGTCTGTAAAGGAAAATAAGATTTCAAACCTACAAATTTTAAAATGACTTGTGAGGGAAACACATGGTCTGAAGGTTATGAATGTGTCATCTGGACTCATTGATGCATTATCCATCAGCAAGAAGTTAAAAAATGACTTTAAGTTTTAGCAGTGAGTGTTTCTTTTTAAAATTTCCCCACAATTTTGATTACTACATTTTTCATGGATTAAAAAGAAACCCCAAACTCCTAAGTCTTTGCTTCAGAGTTTGCCTTTTTTTCTTATAAGGAACAGTAAGATAAGGAATTGGACAGGTAGTCTGCCCATCATTTTTTAAAGTAATAGTCTAATCACAGTGGTTTCTTTTTTTTTTTTAAGTATAGTACAATAGCAGGATAGAGCTGTCAATTGCCAAAGACCACATTGACATACCTTCTGTCATATTTCATTTTTCTAAGTTATTTACAATATTTGTTTATGTAATTGTTTATATAATTGCATTCTTGTAATTTTTTTAAGTTTGGGATTCCCGTGTGAATGTATTATAATAACCGTATAGCACTTGAAGTATATTATTAAAAACAGACATACTTCCTGGTCCTAGTACAAAATAATGCTAAAAGTTTAAAGTGAGGATTCATTTTTTTTCTTAGATATGTTGAGTGTTGCAGACACTGGGGAAAAACAAAACACTACTTTGGGGCATAGACCTGAGCAGGTTCAGAAGATACTCTGTTTCTACTTTGGTATAGAACTTACTCAAGTCAGTAAAATAATATTGAACTGTGAGCTCAGTGCAGCCAGAGCAGTGGCCTCTATTTATGTCCTGTGAGACACACTGTTGGAACAGGTCAAGGATAAAATGCCATTGTTTCTATTGTGGGCTGCCTTCTCCACACTTGCCATTTCAGTGATATGCTGGGTATGAGATCTGTCAACAGATGCTGGTAACACATGATGACGTCTGAAGCGTTATAATGGATGTGGTGCCTAATTATATCCACAGTTCAGAGTCTCATGGGCTTTGGTAATCCTTGCTCTCTGGTGTGGAATTCCTTGCTACAGAAGGACTTCATGAAAGTGTGGTGCTTTTTTTTTTTTTTGGTAGATTTTTTTTTTAATTGTGGTAAAATACATATAAAAATTACCATCTTAACCATTTTTAAGTGTACAGTTGGGTAGTGTTAAATACATTCACAATGTTGTGCAACCAATCTCTAGAACTCTTTCCATCTTGCAAAACTAAACTCTATAAACCCATTAAACAATAGCTTTCTGTTCTTCCCTCTCCCTAGTGCCTGTCAACCACCATTCTACTTTCTGTGTCTACAAATTTGACGACTCTAAGTACCTCATATAAGCGGAGTAATCCAATATTTCTCCTTTTGCTGTCTGCCTTACTTCACTTAGCATAATGTATTCAAGGTTCATCCATGTTATAGAAGAATTTCCTTCCTTTTTAAGGCCGTATAATATTCCACCACATGTGTATACCACATTTTGTTTATCCATTCATCCATCAACCCTTGGGTTGCTTCTCCCTTTGGTTATTGTGAGTAGTGCTGCTATAACATGGGTGTACAGATATCTCTTCATGACCCTGCTTTCAGTTTTTTTTGTTATATACACAGAAGTGGAATTTTTGTAACATCTTGTAATTCTGTTGTCAGTTTTGTAAGGAAGTGAGGTGCTTTGTCCCAAGGAGGCGATTGAGAAGATGTTGAATTTTGCATGAGGACATGCAGGCATTTCAAAGTGCTCCCCTTCTCTTTCAAGGATGTTTAGTAAACCAGAATAGGAATATTTATATTAGGAATTATTATATTTATATTTATATTATATTATGTTATAATTATGTGATATACATATCGCATAAATTAGGCTCTCTTCAGTGGACTTTTGGAACTTCTAGAGTTTTGGTGTTTAAAAGCAAGCTTCTCCTGGAACCAAGGAACACATTCAGCCTTTAATTCAGCTGAAGCCTAATCAGGAGGTGACTTGTCAGAAGAGCAATGCTGAGTATGTGTGCTATCTCCGCAGCACAGGGCGCTGTCCTCACCACTCTGCCAGGCTCCAACAGACCTTTTAAGGAGATGGCTGAGTGTTTCGATGCATCAAGGGTCCTTGCATCCTTAATCTGTATATGGCTGGATGATCCATAAACTTTTCTGCCAGTTGTCGAGAGCCTGAGAGGGTCATTTATTTGTTCCACGTTCAGAGTTCTGATTGGTTTCAGTTATTCCTAAAGAAATTCAAGGTCTTCTGAAGAGTCACAATTTAGATGGACCAATTCACCATTCACCTCAGAGCACCTCCTGTCCTCCAGGCTAAAATGTTGCCATGTCGGGTCGGCAGCATTGAAGGACACGTGTGCAGGAGCAGCTGCCCACAGGGTCTGGATTGTGTAGAGAGCCAGGGAAGCTGAGCGTGGCCCCTTTCAGTGTTGGTGGAGAGCAGCTGCTGATTAAGGGCGCCACGTGAACGCTCTTCTCCCCTGCCCAGAGGAATAGGCTCGTGCATGCATTTTTCTGGGGTAAATAGGCACTAATTGTTCCAATAAAGTTAACAATTAACAAAAAACAAACAACAAATAAAAGCTTGTGAAATTTCTCAGATTCATGAGACGCACATAAATCTCCACTCTGCCTGGTACTCTCTGTTGCACCATAATCAAGTCACTAAACCTCTCCAGTTTCCATTTCTTCATCTAGAAAATAAAAATAACTGATAGCTGTCTTTCTTACCTCACAGGGGCTTTCAGGATCAAATGGTTTGACTAGGTGATGTTGAAGTGGCTTTGTATGTGCCAGGTGATCTGTAAATGTTCAGATGTTATGACTCTTATCCTTGTGCAGCAGATGTTTCTTAATTTTATGAGGCGATGTAATAGTAATGAGCATGAGTGACAGATGGTGAAGTACAAGATTTCTTCCTTAGAGTCTTTGATGTACTTTTTAAAATTATGGTAAAATAAATGTAACATAAAATTGATCATTTTAACCATTTTTAGGGATATAGTTCAGTGACATTAATACCTTCACATCCGTCTGCCGAACCTTTTCATCATCCCAAAATGAAACTCTATTCTAGTTAAACAATAACTTCCCATCCCCCCACCTCATGTATTTTTAAAGACAGGATTTACACGCTTGAACACTTAGAACCTAGGCAATTGTTTGTTTTTTTTTTAAGATTGGCACCTGAGGTAACGTCTGTTGCTGATCTTTTTTCTTTTTTTTTTTTTCCATCTTCCCAAAGTCCCCCGGTACATAGTTGTATATTTTTAGTTGTGGGTCCTTCTAGTTGTGGCATGTGGGACGCCACCTCAGCATGGCCTGATGAGCAGTGCCATGTCCGCGCCTGGGATCCGAACCAGTGAAACCCCGGGTCACCAAAGCGGAGTGCGCGAACTTAACCACTTGGCCACGGGGCTAGCCCCTAGGAAATTGTTTTATATTAGGTTGCAGATGCTTGTTGTATAAAGAGCAAAAATTATAGGTCAAATAAGGAAAATCACCATGGGTGAGAATAAAGAAGAAACAACTTTATAAGGGAGTAGAATGTGGGGTTGGCCTTAATTTGTGTACTTACTAAATGTTAGCTGAGTGGAGAAGAGAAAGAGAGCATTCCTGCCTAGAGAAATAGAGTGATGGGGGTCTTTTTTTGCCGGG